TTAAAATTTTTCTTTTTTATCTGAATACAGTTTTCCCCTCTCTACATCTCCCCGTTCGTCCCCACCTCCTCTCCCATCAGATCCTCTCCCTGTCTGTCTCTCATTAGAAAAAAGAAAGCTTCTTGGAGATAACAACAAAACATAGATAATAATAATAATAATAATAATAATATAAAATGAAAACCATCTTATCAAAGCTGGACAAGCTAACAGAAGAATAAATGAGCCCCAAGAGAAGGCACAAAACTCAGAATCACTTGTTCACATATTCAAGAGTCTCCTAACAGTACTAAACTGACATCTATAGTATATATGGAGAGGGCCTGGTGCAGACCCACAGACTCTGTGCATGCTTCAGTCTCTGTGAGTTTATAATAGGCATCACTCAGTCGTTTTAGAGGGCCTTATTACCAGTTTCTTTGGCTGCTGCTTTAAATTATTTACTGTTGCTAATGTGTCTTAGCACCTGTTGGGTACCAGGCACGTATGCTAAGCTCTCAGTATGCAGCATCACATTTTAACTTTAGAATGACTTTATGCTGTATGCATGCCACTGTAATCTGCATTTTACAACACTGAAACTGAGGATTAGAGGCAATAAGTGACCTGCCCAAAGCTTCACGGTTAACAAATGTTAAATCCTAGCACAAACGCAGCTCCATTGGACCCGAAATCTGAACACAGCAGTGAAAGGGAGAGTGCGTTATACCTGTGAACTGGTTCACTGGTGGCAGGTGCTAGCAATGACATTCGGGATCCTGTGTTTTTCCAAAGTTTTTTTACAAATTAATGTGAGTGAAGCCGGAGACTCTCCCATGTCTCCTGATTTCTCAACTGCAACCTCTACCCACTTGAATCCTTTACCTATGGCTGTCCCAGGTGTCACCTGCCTGCTGTTTTCAGGGACGGGAATGATTTTTAGTGTCTGCACATTTAGCAAAACCCGCCATCTGTGTTACAGCTTAGAACACATCTGAGACCCAAGAAAGGGGCACAGCCATCTTGCGGCTTCTGCCCGACCTCAGCTCCCTCAAGTGCTTTCTGACCTCGTTTTCACTCCTCAGTTGCTTGCAACAGCAGCTGAATGGGTTTCTGTGACAAAGCCACCTGGTCTGTGTGTGGTGACAGCAGGTGTGTTCTCGCTGACATGGGGCGTGATTGTCACGGTGCTTAACAATGTAGGTAGAAAGTCCAGCCCTGAGAGACCCAGGTTGGTAACACTGGTGTGGGGGAAGAGAGAGAGAGGCAGGGAAAAGAGAAAATGCAAAGGTAATGAAGAATCAGTGTTGCCTGGGAGGTGAGCCAGAAACTTGCTTTCTGTGTGCCGTTTTTACAATTTTAATTAATTTTTTGAACTATTCAGAGTTTGCAAACTTTCTCTTATCTTCAACCCATAGTTCCCTAAGTGGTCTGGAATGGAGTTTCAAGCCAGCACATGCTGTGATGTCACATACCTGAATTACGGGGCTGTAGATCATTTGGAGGAAACCACACAAGCCAGATAGCCAGGGTAGCAAGAGTCGTATTTTGGGGTGGCACTTAATTCTCAAGGGGGTGGGACAGGGTGTGTGATTTTGCGTAGAAAGTGTTGGGTCACTTCAATAACAATCACAGCTAATATTTATTGAGCATCCAGCGTGAGCTGGTCGGTGCACTAGGAGTTAATGGGTGTGAATCATTTCTATCTCACCACACTCTGAGGTAGGTACTACTATTATCTTCAATTTGCTGATGGAGAATTGAAGGCCCTGAGGTTTAAGTGACTCAGTCAAAGTACACAACCCCTGATGGAGCAGACTCAGGATTTGGAATTTTAATTTCTCAAAACCTTTATTACCTGCCCTAATTCAGAAATACTATTAAGCCGAACAAGGAGGAAAAGAGATAAGCTCTTTGGCAACCTGTAATCCTTTGAAAGGCCTGTCCAGTTCCTTGGCCTTGGCTTCACGGTGAGGAAGACTAAGAACGAGAGGGATTTGTACCGTAAGGAGCCCACCGGAGCTTCTCTTCTGGGTGGAATAATTGAATGCTGTAAAAGCCTGTAGCCTCCTTCTCAAGTTTTCTTTTACACAATCGGCTTGGGAGGGATTTAGATGTGTAGGCACAATGGGCTAATTTTTCTCTCTCTTGGGCTGGCAGCGTGAGGTGTGACTATTGGTCCCACCCTAGCATACTTGCTAGCACAACAGGCATCATGCCTCTTTGAGCCAACAGAAAAGATCTTGATGAGCTTGTTTGGTGGATGAGCCTGGGCGAGCTGAACAGACCTTGGGCTTAAAAAGCTTGTGGGTAGGAAGTTAAATGAACCCCTTCAGAGTGCCAGGCTATCAAGGAGGCCTATGAAAGAGGTGTTTTACAAAATGGTACCCTATGACAACAGATTATTTTCCCTGCTCAGGGGAGTACTTAGGCTTCGTATTACTCTGGTCTGGGTTCACCACAGACTCATGTTTAATAACAATGCCTGTTCCGCTTTCCTGCAAGAGCTGTAACTCCTGCATTTTGCAGAATGCCTCACATACAGCAGGGCACAATAAACAGTCAATAGTGATGTTTACTGTGATAACCATCTTCCAATGGCTTTCATCTGAGCCACAGAATGTTTTGCAAACACTAATTAGCTAGGTGTCAAGGTGGCTCTCTGTTTTTACAATACATCTTCCCATTTTACAGAATCTTAAATTGAGACCCAGCCAACTTAAGTGGCTTGCCCAAAGTCACGCTGAGTTTACATTAATGATAACGATGGTGCTTTGCATGTCCCTGGCAGATGTTTTTCATGGTGATACAGCATGCTGCAGGGATGATTTCACAGCGCCTTAGAGAAGGGATGGGGGTAGCAAATATTACTAGCTGTTGGCTTGGTTGGATGAACTGAGGCAGAGAGGGCAAATAACTCCGGGGGATTTGACTGATGGTGCAAGCCCATCTCAGAGTGCAGTGCCCATGTCTTAACTGGAAGGCCTGACGGTTTCATACTTTCATGCAGGAAAGAGAGTTGTACTTTTACAAGCAGAAACAAGTTGTAGAATGACACTGTATTAACATCCGGGAATGAGTTTGTTCATATCCCCATCAAGAGGCAAAAGGCATGAGATCAACACTTCAAAGAAAGATATGAATAAATTGGGGGTGCCGGGGGGTGGGCTGCCAGCTCTTCTCTTTGAAAAACACATTTATGGATTTGGGTTCTCTCTGAAAGCATGAGCCCTCCAAGACTCACATGTGCATTTCAGCTTGATGACAGGCCGGGACCGCTTGGTGAGTGGGCACAAGCACATCACTGTCTCCCCTGTCCCATGTTCCAAGTCCCCAAGAAGAGATCCTAGGACACCCACTATCTTAACATCTTCCGTATTATCTGCTATCAATCCCCCTTGTGAGTCCTGAATGGTTCAACTCACTGATAACTGTGGACACACTCTTCCTAGCATCATGGGGGAAAGATGAAAACCTCAACAGAAGTCTGCAAAGCTTACAAGGGACCTGCCTTCTTCCAGGTATCAGTTCTTTAGTGAATGACAATGACGATCCTTGCCTGACAGGCAAGTCAGACTTTTGTAGGGAAAGGGAGTGAAGAGGTTTCTAGGTGTTAGGAGTTCAAGGGAGATTTGCCAACCCAGGGGCAGATAGCTTCCTCTATTAACAAGGCATGTTTGGATAAAGTTTGTTTTCACCCTACTCTACCTTTGCAAGCCTGTGGATTCTGATTGATTGAGGAGACTTCCAGGGGAGTGAGAGCGTGCCCATCCCCTTTCTGGAATGTGTTCACACACACACACGAGCACAACAGCAATAAAAAACACACAAACAAACAAACAAACAAACAAACAAAAGCCTCCGGTGAAGAAACCACACCAAGTTCCTGCTCTCATTTTTGAATATTTATACATATAACCCTACCACATGGATGGCTTAATGGCGCCATTGACTCTCGAGAGAAAAACTTTGGAAACAGCTGTGAATACACACTGCAAGCCCCTTTCATGTGGGAAGGGAGTTTCAGTGCCAAACATTCGCACCCACTGCTATTCTTCAGGGCATGTCTTGAGATCTGCTGCCAGCACTAAAGCTTGCTGTAGGCAGGACTTCAAAGAATGCATCTTTGATTGCCTAAGTATGCCAACAATCTAAGCCACAGCTCTGTGTCCATTTTGGTTCAAAGAGTCGAGGCATGACGACGCAAATAATCCCGATGGACTCAGGACTGTGTCCTCTTCCAGAGATGTGCTCTTACAGAGTAGATAACCTCAGGATGCGCCATCGGGACTAGGCAGAGGCACCTGGGAGGTTTTACTCAGTAATCTGTATGGTTTGACTGGGTCTGTACTGTAGCCTTGACCGACATGTATCTTGTGTGCTCCCTTGCTTTGTAGACACACATCAGCAGTGTTCCTATACACATCTGTTCTATAATATAGCCTAGCTTTTGCCACCAATCCACTCACACAGGCACTTCCCTCCTATGTGATTTTGGGTGTCAAGAATCTCGACAAATTTACTTCAAACAGATTATGAATGAGCATCATCATAACAGCATTTCATGACAAGGGGTGGGAAGACAGAGTTAGATAAATTTCAAGCAACACCTGACATCTGAATACTCAGAAATCTCAAAAGCAATCTATAATTGAATTAATTTTCTTTATTCCTTCCCCTCCCTGACCCCCTGCAGGGCATTTCCCATACACTGGTCTGCCCCTTAGCAGCAGACATGAAAGACCCAAAATACGATCACCTACAAGTATTTTCCTCATTCAACTCTCTCTGGACAAGAACTAAAGAGAATCTACCAAGCGTTAGAAGTTCTGAAACGAATTGTCAGACAGAGTAGGTAGGCTCAGAGTTCCCATCGTTTCTCTGTAAAGCGATCACAGCTCACCCAACTAATGTCTGGCGAATCAGCGCCAGCATTCTGGCGGAAGTCTGCTCCCCAGCTCTCAGCATACACATAGCCAGCCTCCAAGTGCACACGATATTAGCAAGCAAGTTTCTCTTACCCCATCCATGTGGATCCGGACGCTGGGCACCAGCCGGAAAGGGCTGGCCTGCAGACTTCGAGGGCTGCTCTTGGCTTTTCTGTTGTCCTGCAAGGTCAGGATCCCAGGCCTGCGAAAGGAGCCCCCTCTCCACGAGCTCTGTCCAGAGCGCACACCGTCCAGCAGACGCACCAGCAACAGGTTGGCTGGCAGCGCCTCGATGCTGCAGAGCACCAGGGTCCTGCATTCCGGGCACCTCAGCTCCTTGTGGGCCTTGAAAATCCTCTGGAGACATGGTTTGCAGAAGGTGTGCTGGCAGGGGAGGACCTTGGCTGTGACATCGAGCTTTTCAAAGCACACAGGGCACTCCAGGAGATCAAGTAACGTCAAATCATCCATTTTATTTTAAAACCCCGGTCCCGACCTGGAGAAGCAGGAGCCACATTGTAGGGGCAGTCGAGCCGAGGGGGTAGAGCCAGTCTTTGGGGAGCATCAAGAAATCCCTGCCTGTCTGAAGGAAGGAGGAAAAAAAAAAAAAAAACGTGACTGCCCTCAGAGGTGTGTCCCACCTACATGGAGGCAGCGTCTTGAGAGGCAGCTGCAAGTACTTTGTTCCCGGAGCTTCATATGACTCATTCTGATTCAGTGCAGCAGGTTGGAAGACTCAGCTTGTGCCTGCTGCAGGGATCAGGGGGAATCCTGCACAGTGACTGACTGCTCACTGCCTCTGAGTGGAGGGTGCTAGCAAGGAGAGAAGACTGGACAACTGAGGCAGGGAGCTACCTCTCTCTCGGAAGGGCTGGGGTGGTCCTTTTTCCTGCCCGGGGCACAGTCTGTCTTAACTCAGACTTAACTTCCTCCCCGCAACCCCACAGGTTTTCTATCTGCTGCACAAGTGAATGAGCGTAGGGAAGTGTTTACCGACTCCTGTGCAGATGTACACTTCTTTCCCCCACTCTAGAGATTCCGCCACTATTTTGTTCTAACAATAAACAAGAAAAATTCCTACTGCCCGATACTATTTTGCCTAAACTCTGTTCCCTGTCTGTCCCTCTCCCTTCTCCCCAGTTCTTCCCTCCCTGCCTTTCTCCACTCCGGGTTAGTTTAGCGTCAGAGACATTCTTCCTCCTACCAGGTGAGTTCCTGGGACCTGTTTAGTTGCTTTGACAATTGTCCTGGGTTTCAGCTTGAAGCAGAAAGGAATTCAGGCTCCTGTCACTGCCTACAGATACCGAGGAGAAGCAGCGTGAGTGAATAGACAGGGGTGTGTGTGTGTGTGTGTGTGTGTGTGTGTGGTCTGAAAACAATCCTGGCTTTAGAAAAACAGTTTCATTTTGAATGCTTGAAACCAAGCCTCCAGTTTTGAGAGGTCTCCCCCATACAAGTCAGCCATGCCTAGGCTCCGGTGACCATGATGAGTAGGCTTAGCAGGAGGGCCTGTGGCCCCCAGCGGTTAGCAGAGGTAAAGAGACTGCACCTTGGGGAGGCAGGATGGAGTGGGTGGGAGTGGGTGGGGGTGGGTAGGAGTGGGTGGGGGTTGTCTTCTTCAGAGCTGTCAGCAGGCTGGAGAGGTGCATGCGGCCACTAACCTTGTGCCTTTAACTGCAGTTGCAATCTGCTCACGATTCTGGGCTGGGCTGGGCTGGGCTGGGGCGTGCTCCGTCTAACTGGCCAGCCTCCTTTCCTCTCAAGGGCTGGGCAGCCCAGCTGCCAAGCTTTGAAAACTTCCACAAAGTCCTTCCAGTTTCAAGGGATCACCTTACCCAGCCCTGTTAACACTGTCACTGCCGGCAGCTGCCTGCCTGCCACACTGCAGCTGGCCTATCCGTGCTATGACAGCACTTAGGGCCAAGCAGTGAAGATTCTGTGGCTCTACTTTCCCCATTTTTTTTTCTCCCTCATTCAAGCAGCTTAAACTTGCTTAGTTAGAAACATGACAAGGCGCTCATACTTATTTTTAAACTTTTATAAGGATTTCCCGAGAAGGTCAAACATATTAATGATAGCTGTGGTACAAAGATAAGCTGGTCTCTCATAAAATACTGGTCTTAAAAGTGATAATCACCCCTTGAATTTTGAGATGAGAAAGACTTCAGTAATCTTTGGTTCAGTTTCTTCCAATTAAAAGAAGAGTTGGGTGTACATGCACCTATCTTGTAAAGTTCAGGAAGGTCTTTTAAAAAGGTAAAAGTAATGGTCCTACATCACCCATCTGTTATTTCCGGTAGTCATTCCACACCCCTAACTGATGCTAAATTTCCATTTTTGATTTATCAATAATGTTTCATGTGAAGTTACAGGGCAGTCCAACTGAGTGAGTTGGTGATGCCATTATGTAACAGCAGGGTGGCCCCTGTCTGTGTCAGCTACTGTTCTCAATACTTTATCTGCATTCTCCTGCTTAACCCTCTTACCACAGAGAACACCAGCAAAGTTTACCTTCACCACCCAGAGGAGGACACAAAGACAGACGGGAAAGCAGGTCACCCACCAAGTGGCATCAGATGAGAGGTGGATGGTCTGTGCTCTTAACTACTGTGCCACAGAGTGAGAGGGTTTGAGGGCACCCAGCCTTATCCAGCATGGCAAGAAGTCAAGAGATAATGACCTGGATTGACCAATCAGCATGCCTTGCAGATGAGGCAGCTGTGCCCAGAAAGATCAAGAGATTCTCTCAAGTTGCCGAGTGAGATAAACCTCCATCTAGAAACTGGATCTTCTCCTCCACCTCCTCCTCCTCCTTTGTTTGTTTGTTTCTTTTCTTCTTCCTCCTTCTCTCCTACTTCTTCAACCTCTTCTTCCTCCTCTTTTGCTTCCTCCTGTTCATCTCCTTCTTTTTGTATCTTCTGGCTGGGTATGTGGTCTAATCTGTAATCCTAGGACTGGGAGAGGAGAGGCAGGAGGACCATGACTTTAAGACTATTGTGAGACTGTTCCCTACCCCAAATACAAATCACTTTTCCTTTTCTCTTTTCCTTTCTCTCTTTTTTCTCTCTACCTTCTTTCTGTGTGTCTATCTAGTTAATCTTCTTATGTTTAAACATAGGGTAACAATTCTTTTTTTGGGGGGAGGGGAGGGAGCAGGGGATTGAACCTAGAGCTTTGTACTTGCTAGGAAGGACTTTATCACTGATCTAAATGCCCTGCCTGGTAATAGATAATAATTCTTTATCACTTGGAATCCCTTAGCCATGGCTCATTGGAAAATCTTAAGAAGGAATCAAGAAGCCTGTGGTGGTTTGTCTTTCACTTTTCTTCCATGTCAGTTCCAAAAAAAAAATTAAAAAAAAAAATTAAACAGGCACGAAGCTCAGCATGAAGGAGATACCTGAAGGGAGCAGACATAGTTGTCTCTTCTGCTCTGGGGCCTTAATCTCCACACACATTCATTTCAGAAAATGCTAGTAACTTTTTTCAGATTTCCCTTTAGAGCTTCAACAGCAACCCGTCCCCTCCAACTTCTCTATGTCTGCCATGACGGCAGTTTGAACATCTCTCTTGAGTCTTCATTCTCGTTTCTTCTTAGGAAAGCTCAGGTCCTCTGTGAACTGCCCTACAGTGCCCTGGCCTTCTAGAAAGTACCACTCCACACTAGCACTTTTTTTTTTAAGTAAATTTTTATCTTTTATATGAATTACAGTTTATTCACTTTGTATCCCTGCTGTAGCCTCCTCCCTCATTCCCTCCCACTTCTACTCTCCCTCCCTCATCTCCTCCCATGCCTCTCTCCAAGTCCACTGATAGGACTTGGAAGAGAAGGTCCTCCTCCCCTTCCATCTGACCCTCGTCTATCAGGACTCATTAGGACTGGTTGCATTGTCCTCCTCTGCGACCTTGCAAGGCTGCTTTCCCCTCAGGGGAAGGTGTTCAAAGAGCAGGCCACTGAGTTCATATCAGAGACAGCCCCTGTTCCCATTACTAGGGCACCCACTTGGATACTGAGCTGCCATGGGCTACGTCTGAGCAGCAGTCCTAGGTTATCTCCATGAATGGTCCTTGGTTGGAGTATCAGTATCAGAAAAGACCCCTGTGCCTAGATTTTTTAGTTCTGTTGTTCTCCTTGTGGAGCTCCCATCCCCTCCAGGTCTTCTATCTCCCCCTTCTTTCATAAGATTCCCTGCACTCTGCCCAAAGTTTGGTTATGAGTCTCAGCATCTGCTTTGATACCCTGCTGGATAGAGTCTTTCAGAGGCCCTCTGTGGTAGGCTACTGTGCTGTTTCCTGTTTTCTCCTTCCCTCTCTTATTAAACATACTCCATTTCCCTGACCAAACCCCATCTGCACCTACATGCACACACAAGCTTGAATGAGAAAAGTATGTTTTAAAATGGGCAACAAGTGTATAATAATTACAGAAATGTTATAGATAATGTATGCTAGACACCAGTGAGAAAACTTTAAGCAAAATTGTCTTCCAGCAACTCTAGATGGTAGGTGCTGTAACTTTTTCAGAGTTACAAACCTTTGACTTGAACCTGAGTTTTTATGTTACAAAGTCCTACATACCATGAGTCTGTTCAAGCATTTTTACTATATAAATTCCCACACTTTTACACATGAAGTCCACTGTGTATCCATCAGCAGATTGCAGAAGCAACCTAACAGAATAAGAATAAAGGAAGGTGGGGTGCTTTGACTCTCTCCTTCTTCAATGTACCCTATCTCACATTCCCTCTCTATTTCTGCACCATCAGTCAGAGGGTCTCAAAATTATTTGGAGGTCTCCCATTCCTGGGAAAATTCAATCATATCTCCTTCCTTAAGAAGGAAGAGCAGAGCAGTGAATTACTCTTTCGTAGTACATTTGGCAGCTGGAAATTCAAAACCACAGATTGAGATGGAAGGTTTTGGGGCACTGGAGTAGAAAGACGAAGTTAACTGGGAGTCGGGTAGGGCTCTCAAATCATACCTGTAGGTGGTCCCTAACCACCCACAGAGAAGCTAGTCTCATGAAGACCTTTTCTTTTGAAGCGTTGGAAGACTTAGTTGGGGATTTTATTCCGGCGTTCCCAAGCACTACCTTGGCATCAAATCAGACAAACAGCTAGTTCCAAAAAACAAACAAGAAGGTGAACTCTGCATCCTTCCCAGACTCCAGGCCCCCTGCACACATTCGATTCATCAGCACTCTTCACAAGACAAGGCCAGGCTACACGCTTGTTTAATATCTGTATGGCACTTAGGAGTTTATGCTGCTTGTATGTACATGTCGATTTATGCCAACAGCAGGCAAATCTGATCGTTTGGTTCTCCTGTTCAACATCCTTCCTATTGGCCTTAGGCTGGAATCCAAGTATTTTTTCCTGGCCTGTAAGACCACGCACGTACGATCTGGCTTATCTGCCCGAGCTTGTGAGAACAAATCCCTCGGTATTCCTGAAGCACTGCCTTTTTCCCCTTCAACCTTCCTTTCCCTCACTCCCTCTTTGCTTGTTTCATGTTCTCTATGACTCTGAGCTTTGATTAAATGCCCTTTCTTCTGGGAAATGGTCTTT